CTGCCTCAGCCTCCAGAGTGCTGGGATTATAGGTGTGCAACGCCACACCCAGATATAATACTCTTAACCCTTGAAAAGTTTTATGACCTTACTACACTTCTAATAGATATTCTCATGACAAAAAGTATTAAAGGTCATCTTAATTCTCATTTCATCCAATGTCAATTTAGTAAACATCTGCCTTTTTGTATTGATCCTGTGCAAATGTATTTCTAGAAGTTTTAACATGATGGTACAAAAATCTTGGAACCACAGAAATGTATCTTCTGCTTCTCAAATAGCAAGATGGAAAGTCCAGGGAGGTGTAGACTTAGTCTCTTGGACTTAGTCTCTTGTGCCTGTTGTCAGAAAAATAAGAGAGAGCCAGGTGTGGTGGTGCATGCCTGCAGTCCAGTACTTGGGAGGGTAAGACAGGAAAAATGCCATGAGTTCAAGGCCAGAATGAGTTTCATAGTAAGAGTGAGATCTTGCCTCAAATAACAAAAGGAAGGAAGGAAGGAAGGAAGGAAGGAAGGAAGGAAGGAAGGGAGGGATATAGTCCAGAATCCCTGAGCTACCTACTTTGTCTTCATGAGGCTACTGAGCACCCTTCTGGAGGATGGTTTTCCACACAGCCTGAGTTGTAAGGCTTAGCTTTGAGGCAGGTGTATACGCCTGGGCATCAAAGAGTTGTAAAGCAGGTTCCCTCTTAAATTCAGTGTGACAATTTGTGGAGAGCTAAGAAGCACTGACATTTAAGATTATTCTATGACAGTACAAAAATCAATGAGATAGGAAAACCAAGGAGATACGAGGTTACTATTTGGCAATGGACAGAGAAGAGAAGAAAAGTTCAGTATCCTGACTCTAAAAAATACATTTAACCACTGACGCTGGGTAAACTTTTGATATGCACAACAGTGACCATTCAATTTTTCATGAGGTTGAAGCAGCTCCCTTTTTGCTCTAAAGAATTCTGCTCCTGTGTATTAAAAAAAAAAAGAATTCTCCTACTCTTTTTTTTTTGGGGGGGGGGAGGCAGGGACATAACTGGGACTCGAATTCAGGACCTTGCACCACTAAGCTATAGCCCCAGCCCAATTCTGCTACTCTTTACAGAAAAAATAGTGAAGATTTTCTAAAAATGGATAAATTAACTATTTAATTCCTTAAAAAGAAGCCATTCTATAAATTATGTGAACCCTGCTGGAGTATACATACCTGCCTATTTTGAAGTGCTCCAAAGAGAGGTTTTCCTTCATCTCCCAATAGGTTTTCTTAAATATAACAAAAAATAAATAAATAAATAAATCCAGAGCACTACTACAATTATATACTGTTCTTAGTTTCTATTTGATGTTCTTTAATTATATTTTTGATCAGATGATTTGCACTTTACCCCTTGAAAGTCAATGCCAAAATTTTCCAATTTTTGAGAGAATATTAGAAAAGTAAATGTAGACAATTTATAAATTACTACAAAACAATATTGATCATGTGCTAATTTATAAAGAAGGAGTAGAGCTGGGTATGGTGGCACCACACCCTGATCCTATTACAGGAGGCTAGGGCAGGAGGACAGCCATGATTTCGAGGCCAGCTAGCTACATAGTGACTTCAAGGCCAGCTGGACTACATAGCAAGACCTTGTCTCAAAAGACAAAAGGAACAACAAAATAACAAAGGTAATAAAAAAATGTTTGATAAAATCATGGCAGATGTTTTTTCCTTATCATTATGTAAAAAAAAGTTTAAAAGCATTTTTGTATGTATTATAACCTATTTTATATATATAATCTTTTTTTTTTTTTTTTTTGGTACAGAGTCCCACTATGCAGCTCTGACTTGTAGTGATCCTCCTGACTCAGCCTCCCCAATGCTGGGATTATAGGCATGTGCCACCATGCCCAGTTTCCGCTGCTGGCTCAGCACAGGGTTGGCATGGCATGCATAGCATGCAGTACTGGTATCAGGGATCGAACCTGGGTCCTTGCACTTGCCAGGCAGGTGCTTAGATTGCCAAGCTATCTCCCCAGCCTATAACCTATCTTATATAAAACAAATAAGCAATTTTAACTTTAAATTAATAAAAGAATTAGAATAAATTTATTTTATTCTAATAAAGAATAAAATTCTTATTCTAATTCTTATTATTATTCTAATTTAAAAAAAGAAAAAATTGAAAATACCAAAAAACCATGGAATTTGAAATATATTTTGCTTTGCTGGCCAGGGTACTTATTGTTAAATTAATTTCATTTTCACTGATCTTTGGCAGTAGATATATCTCTCAACATGGAAACCTTATTTTCTGTTTTTTAAAATATATTTCCGAATGAACAGTAATACAGGACCCCTTGTTTTTATTCTTCAACTATTACCTATGCCAATATACTGTGTAGTTTACATCATCCCCAAAGGGAGGAAGCTCAGTTAGCTAAATATACACTAAGAATAAAGTAGATTTTACTGCAAAAATAACTACATGAGGTAACATATTTGTTAACTAGCTTGGATGATCCCTTCCACAGGACATACTGTTCTTGAAAATATTATGTTGTACCCAGTACAATTTCATTTGTCAACTAAGAAACAAAAAAATTGTCTCCTCAGTGGAAAAAAAGGCACGATAGCAAACACAAGGTCATATTATACTAATCAAACAGAATCCAATTACAAGACTACAACACAGCATGTGCAAAGATTCAGTACGATCTCTAGTGATTTTCTCATCTCTTTTATGATAAAACCATGACCCTTTTTAATATTCAAGGGCTAAATACAAATGCCTGATTTCTAATGCTTGTTTTCCCAAAGACAGTAAAATGATTAAGCACCATTACATTTCTGATCAATCCATTTAGATTCTTTCTCTTTAAATCCTGTACCTACGATTTAAGTTCAAATTAGGTCTGGACTTTAGTTCAAATTAGAGTCCAATTCTGACTCCTAAAATCTATTCAGAGACTGATGCAGGAAGGTTTTTGGGGAAAAGTAGCTTCATGCTAGTTGGTTCAAATTATGAAATAAGGGCCGGCCTGACAGCTCAGTGGACTAAAGTGCTTGCTTAGGCAGAGTGCAGTGGCCAAGATTTGATCCCCTTCATGGTGTGCTGGCTCCGCCTACAGGGCATGCTGAGACAGCAATTGATACTGGGTGTGGTGGCGTATGTCTGTAATCCCAGTGCTTGGGAGGCTGAAAACAGAAGAATCACTATGAGTCCGATCTATGTAGTGAGACCCTGTAGACCTTAAAAAAAAAAAAAAAAAGAAATAATTTATTGTTATAAAAATATATATAGTAAAGAAAAAATAGGGGCCAGGGAGATGGCGCAGTAGAATAAGTGCTTGCCTGGCAAGTGCAAGCCCTGAGTTCAATCCCCAGTTCGGCCAAAACCAGAACAAAAACAAAAATTGTAGATTCCATTAAAAACAGCAGTAACCTATTAAAAACTATAGTAGATCCCATTAAAAAGCAAAAGTTATATAATGAAAAAAGGAGATGTAAAATGGCTTAAAGATGTGAAAGAATTATAGTTCTTAATGTCTTTTATATAGCATTATATCATAACTGTAAGGAGCAAATTTGCTAATGTAAAAACCTGAGAGGCCAAGGCAGGGTGGGGCACACCTGCAATTCCGACTAAATGGGAGCCTGAGACAGGAAGTTCCAGACCAGCCTAGGCAATTTAGTGAAATCCTATCTCAAAATAAATGAGAAGGGCTGAGGTTGTACTTCAGTGGTACAATGTCTGCCTAGCATGTTCAAGGTCTTGGGTTCAAACCCCCACTATCGGGAAAAAAAACAAGAAGAAAAAACAAAAACCTAAGAGATTCATCACTGCCTTGCTTTTCTAGTGAAAATTTCCAAGACAGAAAATACTTTTAAGGGCCGGCCAAATAGCTCAGTGGATTAAAGCTCTTGCTTGCAGGTGCAGGGGCTTGAGACTGGGCATGGTGGTGCGCGCCTGTAATCCCAGCTCTTGGGAGGCTGTAAACAGGTGGATCACTACAAGTCTGATGTAGTAGTGAAAGCCACAACACTCTGTAGACCCTTCTCTAAAATATGAAAAAAAAAAAAAAAAAAAAAAAACTTTTAATTAATTAATTTGGTACAGGGTCTCGCTACCACCTCAGACTCATAGTGATCCTTCTGTCTCAGCCTTCCCAGCACTGGGATTACAAGCATGTGCCATGTCTGGCACAGCACTCCTGCAATTCCAGAGCCTGCATGGCATATAATACCAGGGATTGAACCTGGGTCCTTGGGCTTTCCAGGCAGGACTCAGACCTCCAAGCTATCTTCCCAGCCCTCTTTTTCTTTTGAAACAGGGTCTCACTGTAGTTCACGCTAATCTTGAACTTCCTCCTGCCTCAGGTTCCCAAGTGCTGGGATTATAGGTGTGCTGTATTATGCCTGGCCATAGAAAAGATTTTCAAGGAAGGGTTCCCTTTAGGCCTGGTTAGTTTCTTCTTGCTGATCTGTCTCTTCTCATCACCTCAGACTTATTTACTCTTTTCTAGTAATGTTTTTCAGGTGACTTGTTTCCATTTTTAGTAAGAAAGAAAACTTATTGCAGATTTCTGAGTTGAATCTGTATATATATATATTTTTTTGGAGACAGGATCTCTAGTTTAGGCTCACCCTGAACTCAATTTGCAGGGATCCTTCTGCCTCAGCCTCTCAAGTGTTTCAACTATAGGTATGTGCCACCCTGCCTAGTTCAATGTCAATTATTTTTTATCTAGCAAGCTTTGTGCTACCCCTTTAAAATCAAGAGGCACTTTTTTGACAGTTAAAAAAATTACATATTTGTAGCACATAATTATATTCATTGTGAGGAACTGGTACAGCAGGTACATAACACATCTCAATTTTTTTCCCCCTTCTCCACTCTCTGTGCCCCCTGCCCTAGCAAGGATCAGATTCATTCCTTCTAAAATACTTTGAATTTATGTTACATATGGTCACTATGGTAGATAAAAAGAGATCAATGTAAAAAATTCTCAGACCTAATGGAACGAGATTATACTAATATACTGAACTACTACTAGTAGGCCTTGAAACAAGTTGAATTGGGGGTGAGGAAGAAAAAAATATTTGGTCAGTCAGTGTTTATTCTGCTTCATGGAAACATACAAGTCACTTTTCTTAGAAGTTTTTACCAATTGCCTGGACAGTGAAAGCACATGTGCTCCAGGTCATCATGGGGACGCGAGGATCCATTTCATCAGGAGGCACTTTCAGTCCAATTCTGTACACTGTTGTGGCAAAGAGAATGACCATTTCCTTGATACTATTAGAATACTTGATCCTAAAAATAAAAACAAGAAAAATTTATGTAATAATTTGTAAAGAAGACTAACTCTATGCCTATGGATTCCACACCCTGGTTGTGGCCACCTGCCAATTCCAATCTGGCTCTGCACTTCATTTTCCCTTGCAAGGGGGCAGTAGATGTGCCAACCAACCAACCAGCCAACCAACCTGATTGTGGACAGAGCCAATGCCTGGGAAGAGAAGAAGAGATAACGCAGCAAGCCATTGCCAGGCCACAACCATTTGCCGACTCCAAGTCAGCTTTATATCCTGCTTTCCCTTGACAGAGGGCAGCAGAGGCACACACTAAACAACAGACCTTATCCTGGACGAAGCAAGTGCCCCAAAGAGAAGGTAAGTAGGAAGGGCCAGCACAGACTCAGGGAAAACGTACAGACCTTGCCAACAGCTTCAGGAATTCCAGGGTTACCCTCCCAAGGTGTCTGGGTGAGAGACAACCATTGGAGGTCACTGCAGGTTAGACACAGACCCTCTGAGAAGTGTAAGCTCAGGCCAGGTAGGACCTGGGCCCTGTCCTCACTGGTGACACAACAGTCCCAGTGAGGGTCAAGTACAGCAGTCTGCTTGAACCCATGCACCATGGCTTACATCTGGCAGAGATCACAGGGCCGACTGTTTCTCCCGTCTACCAAAGGCAGCAAGGACACACTTTGGCTTATATGACTACCACAGTCTGTGATGAAAAGACAGAGAGGCTTCTGGTGCCAAGGGGACCTCACAAATTCACAGACCCTAAAGCTAGGTGGAGAAAATCATGACATGCTGATTCAAGACTGCAGATCCTGGAAAGAAATCACTCATTCAAAAACATAGTGGAGGGGGCTTGCCCCTTAGCTCAGTTCTTTAAGTGGCTGTTTCAACAAAGCAGTCAGGCTCAGGTTGCTGTGGTTCGATCCCCACAACTCAAGCCAGCCAAACCTGCCCTCAAGGCATTCGGAGAAAAAAAAAATCTAAAAACATAGTGGATTTTTATTTATTTTTGGACCCAATCTTTTAAACATTTTGTTTTTTTATTACTTCGGTCTTCATTTTTTTGTTGGGGGTTCCCCTTTCTCTTTTTAACTTGTTTTCCCTCTTTTTCACCCTTTCTTTTCTGGTTTTCAAGGGTTTTGGTATGTGATTCAGGCTGGCCTTGAATGTATGGCCACCCTCCTGCTTCAGCCTGCCAAGTGCTGGGATCACAGGTGCACAACGCCATGCCTGGCTTTACTTATCTTCTATTTCCTGTATTTTTTCTTTTTCTTTGTTCTTCTGTTTTGTTTTGTATTTTATAATACAATTAATTTCCTTTTATTCCTCAATTGGTTCTCCTTTTCACTTTTCTCATCTTCCATTGATTAAGTTTTCAATTTTGATTTTTTCATTTTCTGGTTCCCTACCCCTTCTACCTTTACTAGTATAATAAATAACTGCTAGTATAACTTTTAAGCTTTATACATCTTTAGCTAGCTAGTTAATTCTATGCTATTACTATTGAATACTGTTTTAGTATTAATGGAGGTAAAATTGTTCCATTTAATATATACTCATTGTAGATCAGTATTTGCTTCATCTTAGTGTTTATACTATAATTATAGATTTATTTTCAATGGATAAGGATGGTACATTATTGGTTCATAGGGTATGTCAATATCTACTTTGCTGGTGTTTTTGTTGGTGATTTGATTACTATTGCCAAGGGAACATAATTGTGATTATTTTGTTGTTGTTGTTGTTACCAGTGATCAAACACAGGACTGGACTTGTGTGCTTACCAGGAAGACATCTATGTTGTTGAGCTATAGCCCTGGTCCCTAACTAGTTTTCTATAGATGACAACTTCTGCATTGCCTTCATGTCATTAACGATAATGTGGCCTCCTCTTCCAAGTAAACGTAAGTGGCTGGGTTCTGGGACAACTAGTGGTCAACCTGTAACTGCCAGCTGAACAGCACCAGTGTGGTGCCCACCTGAGGATTGTTGCCAGCCATATAAGAAGCAGAACTAGAGAAGGACTGAAACTTCTGGGAAGTTGCAGCGAGCTGCTGGTTCTTCTGGAGGAGCTTGTCACACTGACTTTACTGATGAACCCAGCTGTTCTCATCCTGTAAGAGTTCAGGACCTTGCTGTCGAGAAGGGCTATGGTTCACCTTGGAGAAGCTCTGGTCCTCACTATGAGCATTGTTTCCTGGCTCCAGAGGGGAAGATGGTGCATAAGCTAGTCTCCTGGAGAAGCTCCTCATGCTGGCTTTCCTGATAGGAGTCTGGCTGCTCCCATCATCAGAGGAGTCTGGAATCTCATTGTTGCTGAGGATAGCTATGGTAGCTTTTTGGGGAGCTCCGGTGTTACTTTTGAGTGTTGCTTCCTGGCTCCAGTTCAGATCCCTCAGCCTGCTAGCACAGATCATCATGCTGGCATATACATTCTAGCTTCCACCACTGACCTTTGGGCCTTCCCAGTGCAGATCCATGAAACAGGCCTGCATGAGACCACGGTCATGGGTTCTAAGGCTCCAGGTAGACTTGTGGGAGTCATTGTTATGGTTGCTAGGTCTTCAGCTGGACTCATGCAGGATATCAGGATTAAGGCCCTCAGCTGGATTCTTTGGTCTTCACTGTATGGACAGATTTCCTCCACTCTTTTTGTATATGACTTTTTGGATGAGTATTATAAAATACTGTTATCATTAAGTATCCTGTACTATACTGTTTCCCCTTGCAGAATCCCAAACCATGACATGTAGTTAGCTATGCCCAGAAGAAACCTCTGAACAGTAGATATTAACTAAACTAGCCAGAAAGCTTTCTACTATAATTGTAAACCTCAGAACAAAAAGCCAAACAAAATGCCTCCCAAAATTTCCAACAGCCCTAGGCTGATCCATGAAGATTCACAGAGGAGGAAATGAAAAGCCAGCCAGCCAACTTATTTGAAAAGATGGGCCGGGGAGATGGCTCAGTGGAATAAGCGCTTCCCTGGCAAGTGCAAGGGCATGAGTTCAATCCCTGGTTCCGCAAAAAAAAAAAAAAAAAAAAAAAAAAAAAAAAAAAAAAAAGATGAAAAGATAACAGAAGAAATAATAAAACAGATCAATAAAATGCTTGGTAAACCTAAAGAAAATACAACTAAACAGATAATGGACCTAATAAACAGAATTATAAGCGAGTCTACAGAAGATACTAATAAAAAGCTAGCTATGCTAAACAAAAGGATACAAAACACAAATACCCAGCACTAAAAATGGTACAAATAGACATTCAAGATATTCAGAATTCTGTCAGAAGTATGGGCAGAGAAGTAATTGATGTGAGAAGACAATGTCAAAAATAGAAGACAAGGTAATGGCTGGTGACCAGTTAATCAATGAAATATCTTATTAACAACCAGAAGATACAAAAAATAGAACTAACAGCTGCTAGATGACTCAAGACTAATTTTGGATTAACTGAAATAAATGAAAAATCAGAAAACAGAAAAAAAGACATTAAAACTTGTTTACTGAAATAATAGCAAAAAAATTATCCCAATATGGGAAAAAAATTCAATATACAAGTGAAATACATAGAACCCAAGGGCCGGCCAAATAGCTCAGGAGATTAAAGCGCCTGCAAGCAGGTGCTGGGGGCCAGGGGATCACTGGGCCTGCCATGCCGGCCCTGCCCCGGCACACTGAGACAGCAGTTGAGACTGTAATCCCAGAGCTTGGGAGGCTGTAAACAGGCGAATCAATACAAGTTCAATCTAGTTGTGAGACCCTGAACACCCTGGAAAGGCCTAAAGGCCAGTGGTGGAAGCTAGAAAGTCTGTACTAGTGTGATGAAGGATGTGTACTAGCTGGCTGAAGAAGCTGAACTACAGCCAGGAAGCACACTCAGGGTAAGAACCAGAGCTCCCCTGAAAAGTACCACAGCCATCCTTAGCAACAGTGAGGTCCCAAGCTCCTCCAATGATGAGGACAACTGAGGTCCCACCAGGAATGCCAGCATGACAGGCTTCTCCAGGAGACTGACTGTTGCACCATCTTACCCTATGGAGTCAGAAAGCAATGCTCAAGAGGAGGACCAGAGCTTCTCCAAAGTGAACCATAGCCATTCTCAGTGACAACAGGGTCCTAAGCTCCCCTTCCAATGAGAAGAGCCAAGTTCATCAGGAAAACCAGCATGACAAGGTCACCCAGCAGAATAGCCTAAGAGAGCCTGAGGTTTCCAACAGCTTCAACAACTTCTCCAAACAGCATACCTAACAGCTTCTCTACAGCTTTTCTAGTTTTACCTCTTATGCCTCGGGCAACAATCCTCAAGTGAGACTCCCATACCCAGCACCATGCTGACTCAGTTCAGCTGGGTGTTAAAAAGTTGGCCACCAGTTGGCAATCCACCACAAAAATCAAAATGGGCACTTCTAAAATATACAGATTTAATTAAATTCCAATCAAAATAGAACAGCAAATTGAGCATCATGACTCATACCTGTAATTCCAGGACTTGGGAGGTTGAGGCAGGAAGACTGCCATGAGTTCAAGTTCAGCCTGGAATACACAGTTCAAGGCCAGCCTGAACTGCAATGTGAGACACTGTCTCAAAAAGCAAAACAAAATACCAATGGCATTCTTTCACAGAACCGGAGAAAAAAATTCCTAAAATTCATATGGAGCCAAACGAGCCTCAGAATAGCAAAACAATATTGGTTGACAAGAGAAAAGTGGCAAGTATCACAATCTCAGATCTTCAGTTATAGATACAGTAATAAAAACAACATGGTACTGGTACAAAAACAGACAGGTAGGGCTGGTGAGATGGCTCAGTGGTCTAAAGCACCTACTTAGAACAAACTTAGCAAAGCACAGGGACCGCGGTTCAATCCCCCAGCACCACATGCCAGCCAGCCCCGCCCCCTGGTGGGCTGAGCTGGCCACACACAAATAAATAAATAAATAAATAAATTAAAAAAAAAAACAAACAGGTAGATCAATGTAACAGAACAGAGGACGCAGAAACTACCCCAGGCACATTCAGTTATTTGATCTTTGACAAAGGGGCCAAAACATACCCATGAAGAAAGATAGCCTCTTTAATAAACAGTGCTGAAAAAACTGTCTATCCACATGCATATGACTAAATCTAGTCCTATATTTCTCACTAAAGTAAAATCAAACTGTATCAGAGAACTAAGTGTTAAAATAGAAACAATCTGCTGAAAGATAAAACAGGTAAAACTCTTCAACTCATTAGGCTAGCCAAGGGCTTTCTAAACAGAATCTTGGTGGTACAAGGGTATAAAGAATCCACAAATGTGATCATATCAAATTTAAAAACTCTCCACAGCAAAGGAAATGACTGACAGAGTAAAGAAACAATCTATAGAAAAGGAAATGTTTTTTCCCAGCTATGCTCAGACAGAGGACTACTATCTAGAATAGACTACCCAAAATAAAAGACTCAATGAAAAAAATGGCTAAGTGAGATAAATAGATGCCTCTCGGAAGTAGAAATGGCCAGTAAGTAAAGAAAAATTTTTCAACAGAGCTGGCTAGGAGAAAAAGGCAAATAAAAGCAACAGTACGATTTCATCTCACATCAGAAAGAATGGTCATCCTCAAAAATTCAAATAAGAACAAATTCTGCTAAGGTAGTGGGGAAAAGCAACCTTTCCACATGGTTGGTGGGAATGTAAACTAGTATATATAATCACTATGGGAATCAGTGTGATGAGATTGCTCAAAAAATTAGTACTAGGGGCTGGTGAGATGGCTCAGTGGTCTAAAGCACCTACTTAGAACAAACTTAGCAAAGCACAGGGACCGCGGTTCAATCCCCCAGCACCACATGCCAGCCAGGGCCGCCCCCTGGTGGGCTGAGCTGGCCACACACACACACACACACACACACACACAAATAAAATTAAAAAAAAAAAATTAGTACTAGAAATTCCATTTGACCCAGCTATCTCCCTTTTAGATAGCTTCCCAAAAGTTAGAGACGTAATTCGTAACTGTTAAAATCTTGGAAGTAGCTGTATGGGCATCAACAGAGAATGAAAATGTGCTATTTAAATACAAAGGAGCACTATTCTGTCATAAAGAAGGATAAACTTGAGTCATCTGTAGGAAAATGGATGCACCTTGAAACCATGTTAACTGTAATCAGGCATGCAAGCTTTCTTTTATATGAGAAACTCAAAATATAAATAGAGCAAAATATAAGACAATTGATAGAAAGTATAGAGGTAGATTTTTCTCAAATGGGCAGGAGATCAAGAGATGGAGGGACTAGGAAGGGAGAGATGAACAAGGATTTCAGATGTGTCTTGTACATGTGACAACTTCCCACAAGAATGTAATCATTATGTACTGCAAACATGTAGCAAAAACCAAAAAGCATGTAGGGCATGGCGGCACATGCCTGAGGCTGCGGCAGGAGGATCACTGTGAGCTGGAGACCAGCTGGGGCTACAAAGTGAGCTCAAGGCCAGCCTGAGCAGTGACCTTGTCTCAAAAACAAACAAACAAACAAATAAATACAAAATCCCCAAAACCCAGGCACCTAAAAAACAAATTAGTAAAGAGGGATACTTCCTAAAAAGTCCTGTTAGGTATCAAAGCAATGGAACAATTTCAACTCTTTCAATATAAGCAGGTACTGCGCCTGACTGGGTTTGCCCAAGCAGGTTCTTTGGTAGAATCTATTACCTCTGTATTTCCAGTGTGACAAAATGGCAAAGGCAGAGCTTGCTCTTCTGGAGGTAGAAAAATACCTCTTGCAAAATGGTAACGGCCCAAATGCGGTGCAGAGATCACAGCCAGAAGTGTTCAGATGCACAGTAAGAGACACACTGGGCAGAGGAGAATTAACATTCAAAGAAATCAGATCTGCTCTAACAAGTTTTAGTGTTTCAGAAGGGACCAAGAATTACTGGGGTTTTTGTTGTTGTTGTTGTTGTTTTGGTCTTTTTGAGATAGGGTCTCACTATGCAGCTCAGGCTAACCTTGAGCTCACTCTATAGCTCAGGCTGATCTTGAACTTGCAATGATCTTCCTGCCTCAGCCTCTCAGTGCTGTGATTATAGGCGTGTGCCACCAGTGCTCCACCAGATCTGTCCTTCCAAGAAGTACTGTTGTGTCAATAGTGGGGTGTGTGTGTGTGTGTGTGTGTGTGTATTCCTATTCTGTGTACCCATGACAGATAAATACCATGGACTACTTTTAGGTAGTAGGGGGCAGATAATATATGAGAGAATTATAACTAGTAAAAAGTATTCTTGATTATCATCTTTGTGAAATACTAACACCCAACTTTGCAATGTGTCATTATATATTTTTCCAGTAACTTTAGGAGGTAGGTAAGGAGGCCACTGCTTCAAGTTTACATTCATGAAAAGTGAATTGGGGGATACTGGGATGAAAACTGAGACTATTAAGAAAGTAACACAGCAACCAAAAAGAACAGCTACTATCAAGAAATAAACCAGTATCAAATGTTGGTGGGGCTGTGGGGAAACAGGAATCCTTCTCGACTGCTAGTGGTAGTGCAGACCGTTACAACCACTGTAGAAATTCCTCAAAAACTAGGACTAGACATTCTAGTTATTCGACCAAGCTATCTTCTTGGTATCTCCCTAACAGAATTAAAAGCATCACACCACAGGTGATGTAAGTACATCTATATGTATAGTGACACAGTTCATAACAGCTAAATTTTGGAAACTGCCCAAATATCCATCAACTGATAAACAGATAAAAAAGATGTGGTTTGGGCTGGGAGATGGCTCAGTAAAGTAAGTGCTTCCCTGGCAAGTGCAAGGGCCTGAGTTCGATCCCCAGTTCTGCAAAAAAAAAAAAAAAAAAAAAAAAGGATGTGGTTTTTCTATACAATGGAGTACAACTCTGTCACAAAGACATACGCTAGGTAAATGGATGTACCTTGAGACCATAATTTTAAGTGAAATAAACTGGACACACATGTGAAATACCACATTATTTCCCTGGTGTGAGAAACTGAAAGTGTAAATAAGGACTAAAATAAATAATAGATGCTGTGAAATAGGAAGAAAATGTTCAAATGGGAAGGGAACTAGGAACGTGAAGGGGAAAGAGAAGGAAAAGCAAAAATGAAAAAATAAAAATAGGAAAAAAGCTTTTGTAAATAAGGGGAAGAGGAGCTGACGAGAGGGGAGGAGAATGGGAAAAGAAAAGAATCAAGTTATATCATGTAGAAATAAAAATTCTATGATGAATGTGAGCATTACGAATATCTAAAATGTACCCAAAATCAATTCTTTGGCTGGATTGGGTGGCCTTAATGACAGGTCTAGTGCGGCATGTGGAGCTGGGGATTGAACTGCGGTCCCCTATGCTTGACTGGGCTTGCCCAAGCAGGTACTTTAAACAACTGAGCTAACCCACAAGCAGCCAAAAACCAATTTTTTTTTTTTTTTTGGTGGGGGGGTGGAACCAGGGACTGAACTCAGATCCTTCTACTGCGCTATCTCCTCAGCCCCAAAAACCAATTTTTTAAAGAAAGCAACAGCAAAAGTGTCTTAAGTGAAGTCTCTTAATTTTGGTTCGCTTGTGGCATTTTGTGCTTTTTATTTTCATAGTTCAGGTTATGCTTAAACTCACTGTGTCGTCCAGGCTGGACTTGAACTTGCAACAATCCTCCTACCATAGCTTTCTAAGTGCAGGGATTACAGGTATACACCAGTACACCCAGCTAAAATTAGTTTTTTGTTTGTTTGTTGGTCAAAATGTTTATTTAGAGGCATGGCCTAACCTAAAACATATTACTTTAAGCACTTATTACTTTTGGGCTGGAGATGTAGCACCATAGAAGAGCACTTCCCTAGCATTTGAGAAGTCCAGGGTTCAATCCCCAGTACACACACACACACACACACACACACACACCATTTAATTTTACTAATACAAATAAAATTTCATGCAGAAAGAAATCAAAATGGGATAAAAATAATTCTATAATAAAAAAGGAAGAAAAGTAAATATCGACTAGTTCCTATTGTTACTTTTACAGCCATGTACAAACATAATTAATCAGATACTTACAAAGACTGAACTCCAAAACTCAGGATAGAATGAAACTCCAAAGTAGAATCTCCCATCCCTTGATCAAACAACATAGGAATTACTGGGTTTTCTCCTTATATATTAAAATGAAAAAGAAAGAAAAAAGCATGAATGTGTATGTTTCCGTTTTGTTCTGGGACTGGCAATTGAACTGAGGACCTTGGACCAGGCAGGTATTTGTGCCACTGAACTACATCCCTAGCCCTATGAATATATTTAATTAGATACTTTTTTATTGTTTAAAAAATATATATGATCATTTTAGAAAATGCTAATAAGCGATAAACAATCACCTTTACTTTCTCTATCCAGATAAACAAAAAATAAAATTTGGATGCCGTTATTCTTTTTTCCATATAAATGTCACACATACAGCTTTTAAAGAACAACAATAACAAGCTAGGCATAATAATATAGGTCATAATTCCAGCAGTCTGGAAATCAGATGCAGTAGGATTGTAAACTCAAGCCCTGCCTGAGTAATTTAGCATGGGAATTGAGTGAGCATCTATCTCAAAATAAAAGATTTTAAAAGGCCAGGAATACAGCTCAGTATGAAGGCTTTGGTTCAATCTCCAGTATTAGAAAGGAAAAAAAAAAACAACCAAACAAACAAAAACTAACAAAAGACAGTGTCATAAAGCACATATAATTACTCAATTAATCTTTTAGCCAATTAAGTATGTATTACCATTTCCATTTCCCAAATAAGAAAGTTGAGCCTGCTCACTCCTATAATGTCAGCAGAGGCTGAGGCGGGAAGGATGCCCTTGAGTTCAAGGCCAACCTGAATTATATAGCAACTCTGTCTCAAAAATAAAACAAAACAAAACCCCACAAGATACAAAGTTCAGTCACAGAAAGTGTATAAGTAACTTGCCCAAGAACTCTCAACCAGTAAGTGGATCTCACAAACTTAGCTGGATTTTGGATCAAAAATATAAATGGTCATCTGACTCTAGATTAATACTATTCTGTATCCTAGAATGAAACATGACTGACTTGAGTAAACTGATGTAAGACAAACTTAAGTCTTGTTTTAAAGAGTCTTATTTTCCAATACTAGACAAATCTGTATTGGCAAGCCATATCTTAGCATGATATTTTAAATAAATAAAATAAAGATTTTGACACAATTTTCATATAGATAAAATATAAATTTAACCAAACCTTTAGTATGTTTCATATTATAACCTTCTATTCTGGCCAGAACAGTCTGTATCCACCGTGCCATGGTCAAAAGTTGAGCAAGAGCTTCTGCATTCTCACTAAAAAAAAAAAGACATTATTAAATCTACTTGTCCAAAGTCACTCTAAAAAGCTGGGCTTGCACTCTCCTTGCATAAATGTTAAGTTTCTCCATTACTGTTAAATTAATGCTCTCTTAGGCTACTGAAACGTGTCTAAAAATACAGGCTTTGGGTGAATGTTAAGGGATTTTAAAAGTACACAGAGCAAGACACCACCTAAAAGTAATGATGTTAGTAAATGAAAATAGCATTTTTAGTTGCCTAAGTGAAAACCCAGGTTCACTGACTTGATTCTCACCTAATTTAATAGCTACTCTTATAGGTTTCCTTTCTTTTTCTTTTTTTGGTACCAGAAATTGAACTTGGGACCTTGCACTTGCCAAGCAGGTGTAGGTGCTGTGTCAATGAGCTACATCCCTGGTCCAGGTTCGCTTTCTAAATGTGTTCCACGTTGATTACTTCTTTCTGCTGCTACCTGTTACCCTAGTCCATGTCACATCATCCTTCACCTGAATCACTTCAACTGACTCCTAGCTATTCTTTCTACTTCTATTTCTGTTTCATTATTAAGTAGGAATTCATGATACAGCAGCCACAAGGTGCTTCTAAACTTAAATCAGATTATATTACATCCTTGTTCAAAATATACCAGTGGTTTCCCATCATACATAAAATATTCTAACTTGTCTTAGGTCATAAGCTCTTATGCTCAGGGTCTCTACTCTTTCTGTCCAGGCATGCTACCTTCTTTCTGAGCCTTCAAGCATGAAGATTATATTCTGAACTTGGGGCCCTTTGCTCTTGACATTGCCTGGGTTTTTTGAAGAGGCTGTTTTTTCTCCAATGTATGTTTTTGATTCCTTTATCAAGAATCAGGAAAAGAAAATCAGAGGGGTGTAGCTGTGTGAGTTTATATCTGTGTCCTCTATTTTATTTCATTGGTCTATTTGAGTGTCACCATCATGCTGTTTTGGTTACTCTGACTTTGTAGTATGTATAATTTGAAATCAAGTATGACAATGCCCCCAGCTTTCTCTTTTTGCTTAGGACTGCTGTGGCTATTCTGGGTCTTTTGTCTTCCCATAGGAATTACAGGACTGTTTTTTTAGTGCTGGGAAGAATGGCATTGGAATTTTTTTGGGGGGACGGGTACTGGGAATTGAACTCAGAACCTTGTACTTGCCAGGCCTCCTGGTAAGGGAATTTTGATGAGGATTATATTGAATCTGTAGATCACTTCTGGAAACATGGATTATTTTAATATTAATTCTACTGATTCATGAATATGGGAAGTTTCCCATCTTCTAATGTCTTTTTTCAGAGTTTTGTAATTTTTACTGTAGAGTTCTTTGACCTCCTTGGTTAGGTTGATTCCTAGTGCCCTTGTGCTTGCCAGGGAAGTGCTTATTCCACTGAGCCATCTCCCCAGCCCCTGAAGGCATTATTAATGAAATTACCTTCCTGATTTTTTTTCAGTTAGTTCATTATTGGTATATAAAACAAACTATTGTATTTTTAATGTTAGTTTTGTTTCCAGAAAGTTTTTTGATTCTCAAAAATGAATGTATGCTAAGACCAACTATGATTAATTTTCTTTAAAAATACTAGTGTTTTAGTTTTAAATCTTTAAATATATTAATTAAATATTTTAATTAAGATGTTAGTTCTGATAGTTTGTATTAGCTTTATATTATCTTAATTATGTTCATAGTGATTTTTAAAAAACAAAAAGGTAAATGTATTTATGTTATATAAATTATAATGTCTCATAATTCAGATCCTGAGTAACAAAACTGTTACTATGACAACAGTGATGCTGTGGCATGCACTGCCATAGCTTTACTGTATTATTACAGCGTAAGAGCCTCAGAAGCCTAAGACAGCTGGTCACAAGGCTAAGTTTTCTGACTCTAGAAATAAAAGCCCTGAAACTTCATACTCTTAAAGACACCAAGAAAAGAAGCTACTGAGTACTCCTTTACAGAATATATAATGAAAATGTTTGATAATTTTTATTTTGGGGAGTCACTGTATAAAAAAGGCTTTGTAGACTACTAAGTTGAAAATCATTTTATTTTATTATGATTTATTTTATCTCTGTCTTCAGGTATATAGTTTGGTAAAATTTTGTGTCAGGTCTGGGTTCAAAATGGATCTGTCTCCAAACTTTTATTTTTTGTAGTGGGAATTGAACTCAGGACTTAGCACTTGCCAGGCAGGCACTGTGCTGCCAAGCTATATCCTTTGCCCTGTCTCCAAATTCATAACTTTAAATGCAAAAACAGTAACTATTTCAGTAAACTATTATGAGAACTAGAGTAAGATAATGTAGCAAGTGCTAGGCTGAGTGTCTAAAACATATTAGTTACTCAATAAATAAACAATAAACCTTTCTAACACTACTGGGCCTGGGAGATAGCTCAGTAGAATAAGGGTTTGCCTGGCAAGTGGCAAGGGCCTGAGTTCAATCCCGGTTCCACAAAAAACAAAACAAAACACCTCCACAAACACAAACACAAAAAACCCCCAAAACACTACTTTCTTCCTATAAAATGACATCCTATGTCTTAAAATGCTAAAAAAGATAATTTCTAAATTAGGCTTTCCAAGATAACACTTTTGAATTCTTCTTAGGGGATACATTAATGGCATTTGTGTTGGTCTTGGAGACTAAATCCAGAGCCTTGCACAAGCTCAGCAAGTGTTTTACCACTGAGTTCCACCCTCAGCTAGTGGCATCTTTTAGCAGAACTTAGGTTTACCATGACAAATTTCTGGAGTTTTACAGAAATTGAAATAAAGACAATTATAACTAATACTGTTATTACCATGTAGAACAATGCCAATATAAAAGTATATAAGTAAGACTCCTAGTAGTCATTAAGAAACAAATGAATTTGCTATTAAATTCTATTCACAGATGAATAGAAAACAAAAATTAAAAGAAAAAATTTTTTTTTCATTCCCTGTGACAGGGTCTCACTACATTGTTCAGACTGATCTTGAACTCATGGCATCATCCTGCCTCAGCCTCCCAAAAGCTGCCAGCTGGGATTACAGGCATGTGCCACCATACCCACCCATATATATGTGCCAATATATATGCCAGCTGTGGTGTTGCACACCTGAAGCAGGAGGATACAGGTCCAGCCTGGACAGTTCAGCAACTTAGTGGAG